TGCCTCCAAAATAAACGATGTTGCTCCTCTAAAGAATTCTGCGAAATGAGAACATAGCTGTCAAACAACAAAAATGACAGTTGAAAGTAAGCGAGAAAAAGCATGCTTCGTACTTTTTGCGGTCTACACGTCTTGCGTCTTTGCGTCGTCACGCAAGCGAGATTTTCCAGCACGTGAAGACGGCCGGTTAGCAAATTGTACACATCGATGGCAAACATCGAAAGTTGAACCGATATTATCGATGTTTCAAAAACATCGATGCATCGTTTGCATCCCTAATAGCACTTTTGTTCTTGGCATGTCTGTAAAATTGCATCTACATAAACAAACCAAAATAAACAATAAATATATTAAGAACTGCACCAAACCTATCATGGGATAATTAGCCTATTGGCTATGGTCTTTTCTACTGATAAATAACTTACCTTTCTCAAATTAGGAAGTATCAAGTGATCAGTTTTCTCTTTGAAAAAAAAAAAAAAACAAAGTAATAAACTAAAGCAGTGAACAGATTAATAAATACCTCTTAATGTACAGCTGAACGTTCTCGTTAAAAAATGGAAGCAAATACCAACATTTTTGAAAGTGTAAGTTTTCTTATTATTTGCTTAATTTAAAAATGTTTTCAGACCATTAGTGGAAAATCTTTTTAGACTAATGGTGGAACTGGAGATTTTGGAGTTACTGAAGAATCAGGTAAATATATGATAAAATTAATAAACAATACTGTATGCAATTAATACTTTTCCACATATAAGCTATCTAATTTTAACAATCGTATTAACCATGGTTCATTTTACACAAATAGCTGGGACTTACCGTTGATTTTTGAAATTTTTTCACGCATTTTCTTCCATACAAGAGTCTCGTTCCTCAACTTTTCTGGATAAAACCCGTGGTACAATAATTACAGGTATCGTCTTCCCAGAGAGCGCATATTCCGATCTGCCTTATTTGAAAAATATCATTGTTGCCCACACTAAAAGGTTTACTGTAAGGGAAAATGGACATTTCTATTCACCATATACCATATACATATGTCGTATTTTTTTTAAACAAACCTTCTTGCAGAGAACTTATTTAATTTGCAAAAGCCCAAAAATAAACATTTGCTTAGTAAACAAAACAAAAATTTTTATTGCTCAATTTATTTCAAACATTTTTTTTCTTGAAAAACCATTTGAAAAACTATAAAAATTTAAGTGAGCGAAAACCAAAAGCAATGCCACTTAAAAGTAAAAGAATCAACATTGAAATGCGTCAAAACGAAAATAAGGGAGCACGAATTTCGATGTAAAGCAAAACTCTCTGGGAAGACAATGGTACAATAACTACAGGTAGTAACTTGTTATGCTGACCTGGAGCACTTAAAACGTAAAAAACTGAACACCCACCTCTTCGTGACCGATTGGCAATTTGATTCGGTTGCCGAATGTGCCATGGTGTTTTTAACCGACTTCCAAAAAGGAGGAGGTTATCAGTTCGTCGGAGTCGGTAGTGTCTCAGAGGTGGTCCCATACTAATCTGGTTAAGATCCGATCAGTGGATCATGAGATATATATATATATATATATTTTTTTTTTATATGAGAGTTGAAGTCGGTTTTTTTTTGCTAAAAATTACTTGTTATTATGATAAACCCATGACATGATAAAAACATTACAAGGTAAAATCCATGATAAAAACATAGTACGGTAAAACCGTTCTCTCAATTCGTCGGCCATGATGTTTTTTTGAAGTTTGCCAACATTTTAAAATCATATAAAATTGAGAGTAAAAAAAGGAATTGGAATGTGTGTGTGAGTTTGTGTGTAAAATTTTAAAATTAAATTGCTTGCAAACGTCAAGAATTTGAAAAATTCCTCTCAGCGGTTCTACCTTCCTATTTTTTTTATCATGGTAAAATCATTAAGAGGCAGTCTGACGTTTGCCAGCAATATAATTTTAAAGCTCGTCGGCGATTTCAAGCATCCGTTGTTGGTTACCCCAGCAACGAGTACATGTGTGAGTGTCGGGTTGAATGTCGGGTGCTTGAAGCTTGCCCGGCGACACTCAAGCTGATGCCAGATAAAACTTTGTAGCTTTGCGTGACATTTATAACTTCGCCAGCAAAGCGCCAGACGCAAAAGGTATGCCACAATGAACGCCAAGAAAGCAATTTTGTACCGCTGTTTTACTCGTAAAAGTTGCTGTGGATTTTATATATTTTGCTTTAAAATTATCAGCAATGTAATTAAGTTTTATGTTTCTGCATGAAAACCCGAATTTGCACGAAACAAAATAAATATTAAACCGGCTGATTGTCAAAGCGCGCAAAAAGATGGGAGTTGGCCATCTTTTCGCTTCGCGCTGCAGCTTCAACGATTTATGTGGCATGCTTTGTGCATTTTCATACAATTCATCTTATCTGTCAAAGCGAATCTGTCACGTAAAGCGAAGCAAAAGTTTTATGTGGCATCAGCTTCAAGCATAAAGCGTCAACACCATTTGCAATAAAATTTCGTAGTGGGCGGACGTAAACATGTCTTCATCGGATGACGATTTTTTGCTACTTGCCACTGCAGTAGTTTTATTAGAAAAAAAGAAAAAAATATTGGAATATGCTTCGCACTTAGTATTCCACAAAGCGGGTAAGGACGCATAAGTTTCAATAAACCGCAACGTAAAATCTTTATCTTCCGCAAACTTGCTCATTTTACATATCACAACAAACTAACACACTAATGCTTGTCAACGCTTTGCGCCACTATCAAACAGACCGCTTGTCAAGCGGTCGCGTTGATGGAAAATCAACACGAGCCGACAACAAGTACGTGTGACACGACGATCTCCGATTGCCTCGGTTGCTGGGGTAACCAACAACGGATGCTTGAAATCGCCGACGAGCTTAAAATTCGAACTCAAGCTCACACACATTCTCATTTTTAATCTCAATTTTATATGATTTTAAAATGTTTGCAAACGTCAGAAAAAAATCATGGGCGACGAATTGAGAGAATGGTTTTACCTTCTAATGTTTTTATCATGAACCCATAATAAATAGGTGCAATCCCGTATTCCTCGGACTCGAACTAGTAAAACTGTCAAAAAATAAAAATTCGCTCAGAGCGAGAGAGTAACATTGAAAAGTACGGGATCGCTTTC